AAATAATTGTTCATTATAGAACTCGGAAGAATGTATTAATACAGAGTGATGGCCATAACCAACAGCTTCAAATCCATCTGGGATCAGAATTTTTTTATATTTTTCAATGAGTTCTTTTTTTGAAAATTCATTAGGTGCGTTTTCATATTTTCGGCAGTGATCAATAAATTCCAAATCCACATTTGGAATGTGTCTGAGAAGGTCACAAAAACTTAACCTTTCGCATTTTCCTGTTGGATTTTCTGGATTGATTATGATTGTGTCAATACTAATGTCAATCATAATTTCATATGAATTAAAGTTGAATAATTTCGGATTATTCAAAAATTGTAAGAATAATTGTCTGACTATTAAATGGCAATCAAGGATATTACTGTTTGTGTTTTGATATGTCCATAAATAATCTCGTAAGCTAAGCATGCTCATCTTATGATTTTTAATTATTTTATATTAAAAAAAATTTCCAGAATAATTGCTGTCAATTTCTTAGCATTTTTTTCCATAGTTCGATCATTGAATTATTTAATGTCCAAGCTCCAACCAGTATATTTGAAATATAAATGCATTTGAGTATTATTCATTTCTTAAATAAGTAATTCAAAAATTGAAAGTATAATGAGAATTAAAAAAAAAAAAAAAAAAAAAAAAGGTAGTGGGGCTTCCAGGCACTTCGTGCCTTCTAGCCCTGATGTTGATGTTTAGTATAAATGAAGTTTTTATTCGGAGGACTCTTCTTCTTCCTCCATTGCTTCTGGGAAGAAGCCTTCTTCTGGGTCGAAAACATTATATAATGTGTCGCTTTTCACAAATTATATATGTTTTCATGTTTTGTCACTTTTCTGTCACTTTTCAGGGAAAAACATTTTTATTATTATATATAAATGAATTTTACAAAACCACCGTTACCGTTCTTTGGAAATAAGAGTAGATGTAAAGATATTATATTGAGAGAACTTAAGAAACTACCGAATGGTCTAACATTTGTAGATTTGTTCGGTGGAAGTTTCTATATATCCCATTTGTGCCATACCGTATTCCCAGACTCAAAGATTATATGCAATGACTTCGACAACTATATGGACCGTCTCAAACATATTCCAGACACAAACAATATATTGAAAGAGTTAAAAGAAAAGATACCTATAGGTAAGATGGAACGTATACCATTAGATAACAAAAATATTGTGAGAGAGGTTTTGAAAAAAGCAGAATATATAGACTGGGATAGTATATCTGCTAGACTATTATATAGTGGTTCTATAAGAGTTCATGACATTGAAACACTTATGTCAAAAGTTTTATATCTTAACTATACAAATGTTTTCAAAGAGGACATAGAAAAATATATTGAGGTATAGAGTTTGTGAGATGTCATTGGACAGATTTGTATGAAAAATATAAAGACAAGGAAAATGTTTTCTTTATAGTGGACCCGCCGTTCTATAACACATGGGATTTTCAATACCAAGTAGACTGGACTTTGAGAGACTCTTTAGAAACTTTAGACGTTATACATAACCATCCATGCTTTTACTTTACATCGATAAAAGTGGTTTGGAAACCGTTATGAGATGGTTAGAGGACATACATGACTATGAGTTTAGATATGACAAGATAGAATATGAGAGAGGTCCTATAAACCGGAGAAAGTGTCATAACAAAGAAATTTTATTAGTAAGTAAATGTGGTTTGAAATAGGACTACTTGTTTTAGGTTTTTTCCATTGTGTCATTTATTTATTTGACGTGGCAGAAAAGTACAGAGAATATGAAGATGAACCAATGCCTGCAAATGTTCAGTATATGTACTCGTAAGAGATATTTTTATCTAATATTAAATGGACGCACAGAACTTAGCGAATGCACAGCAACCTGGACAACCAAACCCAGAGAATATTCCAAATGAAGTTAGAATACAAACTGCAATGGCAAACTATGGTCAAGTGCCAACAGATGTACAAATGCAAACTGCCATGTCAAATGACGCTGCGTTAGGTTTGCCACCATGGTATGCAAATATGAGATGGAAAGAGTTTTATACAAACCCTGAAGTGGGATATAAACAACTTTATGCAGATGACGCGAACACAGGAGTTGACCCAGAATATGTTTTCTACCAGAGGAGAAACAGAATGTATGAGCTCCAGTTAAAGAATGCTATGGAACTCAACAGGAAACGTAAGAGACTAGGCGGACATTAGATTTTTACATATAGTAAAATGGGTTTCTTCAGTAAGATAGGAAACTTCTTTCGAAATGTTGGAAGAGGTATATGGAATGGAATAAAAACCGTAGGAAGAGGAATTTGGAACGGTGTCAAAAATATTGGTAAAAGAGTAGGTCAGTTTGTTGGTATTATACCTAAAGACCCTGAACCAGAAGAACAAGCTCCTGTTATACAACAGCCTGAACCTGCACCACAGTCTAGTTGGCAACCAAATCCAACACCTCAACCGTATTAAAAATTATATTTTTACCGTTCGATAGTAGTTGTATATGAAACTAAGTTCTAAGTAAAACGCATGGTATAATGGAATTATTCTTTTTCTTCCATCTGTAGTAAACCATACTTGAAAGTCTGAAATACTTCCACTTGGTGGTTCGTATAACTTTGTAGGTTTTCGTAAAAGTCATTTGCCAAGCATAAGAAAGAGTTTTGGGCGCCAGAAAATGAAGCATGAACAATAATAGCAGCTGGGTCGAAAACATCTTTAAATAAATATGGTTCATCTCTTGCATATCGACTGTAAATATTTGCTAAAGGAAGTTTGACTTTCTGATTTAACATTCTTTGCAAATAATACCATGACATTGCAGTGAATTCTGTATATATTTGTTCGTCTTTATTTGGATTGTTTTCGTAGATTTGAAATGACACTTGTGAATTTTGTTTGTCATATACAATTCTCACATAAAGTGTGCTCTCGGTATTTGCATATTCATCAGCATATTTTGCATAACATGAATTTATTTTATCTTCTATATTTTTTAACGCAGTCTGTAGAGAAGATGAAAGGTCAACTTGTATTAGCTCAATTTCTTCCCACATTTTTCGTTTCCCTTCAGATATATAATCTATATGAAACCTTACAATAAATGGAAAACTTTTATCTTCTACAGACACAAACTTCATTCTACGAAAGCCAATAGCTTTTGTGACAGATGGGTCTCTTAGCCATCTTAATGGGTAGTCAAAACGATAGCCTTCATGCTTTACGGTCTCTGTCTCAAACTTTTGACCGACATTAGTAAAAAGTTCATCTAATGGTTTAGTTGTAGCAACTCTTGAATTTTCTTTTTCTATTGGAAGCATATTTTATCTAGAATAAAAATGTCGAAAGATATTGCTTCTATGAGAGAAATACAACACAACCGACAACTCATTATGCAAGCTCTAAATAAGAACACAACAAACTTTTCAAACTATTCTAAGATATCTGAGTCATTGAAAGAAGGAAACTTAAAACTGACATTAAACCCAATGACAGATGAGTTTCTGTTTCAAGACAATAAGAACCATACTGTCTGTATAAATCCAACAAAAGGAACTTTAAACGAGAAACCTATAAATGAACTTCTTTTGAAAACAGATGTTGACAACAAAGCTGACAAAGAATATGTAGACGATGCAATAGCAAAAGAAGAAGAAAGAGCTAACAATGCTTATGCAACAAAAGAACATACTCATCCTGAACTAGCAGACAAAACATATGTTGACAATAAAATGTCAAGTGAAGTGACAAGAGCTGAAAACGAATATTCTAAAAAGACTCATACACATTCTATATCTGAAATAACAGACTTACAAGAAACCTTAAACAGTAAAAGTGCCGTTGGACATACACATACCATTGCAAATATTACAAACTTACAAGAAACCTTAAACAGGAAAAGTGCCGTTGGACATACACATACATCTTCTGAAATAACAGACTTAAACGTTAGCCTTGAAAATAAAGCAGATAAAACATATGTCAATGAAATATACCAAAGTTTGATAGGAACAACGAAAAATATTGAAACTATTGTTGGTGACTTTTCTGTCAATGAAGAAAACAAATATTTTAGATGGGAGTTTGTACACTCCTTAAAAAATGGTATACGGTATAAACTCATTCCGAAAAATAACAATGAAATGTATGTAGGCTATATAAAGAATGATGGTACACAAGTTAAAGTTCCATTAGACAACAACTGTTACTTAAACTTATATGGAGACGAACAAAAGAAATATTTAAGAGTTTATGAAATGGCAGATATGACATTACCTAACCCAGCTCCAGCACCATATTATTATGACTATGGAGATGACGTCAGAACACCACATGTAGATGAACAAAAGCTAACATTATATTTAGATTATTATAGATATAAAAGATATAATGCAATAGAAAAAACGAGAATAGTATACTATTATGAAGATGACAGAAATAAATATTATAGTCAAGATTTTACCTACCCTGAAAACATAAGATTATATTATAAAAAATATTCTGACACAAACCAGAAGAAACCTGAAATAGTTGCACTATATTTTTAAGTTCAAAAGAGACAATCCTATAATGTCTCATATGTTTGATTTAATGAACCCAGTAGGTTCTATTTATACATCTATGGAAGCAAGAGGTCCTCAAGTAATGTTTGGTGTTGGTGCATGGGAACAAATAGTCGACAGGTTTTTGTATTGTGCAAACTCTTCAAAGGAAACAGGTGGAAGTAAAACGATTTCAGGTGAAAATTTACCTGCACACAGTCATTACATAGATTTAAGTACATCTCAAGCAGGTTGGCATAAGCATAGATATTGGGATTGGTCAGGAATGACAAAAGGTAAAGGATATGATGTTAAAGACGACGTTAAGTTTGCTATAAATTGTTACTGGAGTGACACTCAGGGAGAAGGAAACCATACACATTTCGTTTCAGGATATACGCAAACAACGGACAAAGTAAAGAATACATGCCACCTTACATGACAGTTTACGCATGGTATAGAATTGCTTAGTCGTCATTTTCAACTTCTTTAGCATATTCGTCAGGAGTTGTCTTATATTTGTTAGGAACTGTCTTTGAAAGTATACCACCTTGAACTTTGACAAGTTTGAAACGAGGTCTGACAATAGTAGTTTTATCTTCTGCTTGCAGTGTGTACATTTTGCCATGTTTGCCTAAAACTTCATAATATTCTCTTGTATACTTTCTTCTATTTTTACGAACACGAATGTGAGTACCTGTCGGGTTCCCATTGTTGTCATAGTCAATAGTATTTTCATATGGGTCGCGTTTAGGTATTTCTATTTTTACTTTGTCACCTTTCTGAAGTTTGAAGCCCGGCATTCTTTCTTGTTTGTCTCTTTTGACTAAATTATTAAATATATAGTCTTTCTCTAAGTCAGGGTTGTTTTTCATTTCTTCGGGGGAGTGGTTTCCCAAACCTTTTTGTTTACGGCTATTGTAAATATTTAAAACTTGTCTCATCTTTGCCATGGAGAAGTGTCTATATTTGTCGTCATATGACATTTCATTTGCTTCACCACCTTGTGGTTGGTTTAAGTCTCTTAACATTTTTATACAACCGTCAATGACACCAAGAGCAAATGTTTTGGTCGACAATGAAATATTGGTTTACATTTTTTGAACGCAGATAGTTTTTACATCATCTGATTTGAAAGAACTTTCACAGTCAGATGTCAGTTTTGTTGGATGGTATTTGTCAACGAATATTGTCAAAGCTGCTAAGATATCTAAAATATTTTTGGACTGTAATGGTATGGCTTCACAGTATCTTGTGTTTTGACCGACAAATATTAGCCAGTATGGTGGTCCATCTTCTCTATACCTCGGAATGTTTTCCAAGATATCCATAAACCAAGCATTTGGTGTTGAACTAAAGATTTTTATCATGAGTGCTTTCTTTGTCGCTTTAGAAACATAGGGGTCCTTGTTTGGATTCGTCCATTTTTAAACCATAAGAAATGGTTTATTTGGCGCATTAGCAGGAGTTGCATCCAGATTTTTGCCCCGCAGTGGGAAACAATAGCCAGAGGTGCATTTGGAATTGGAAGGAAGATTTTGAGTACATTAGGTATATACTTAAAGAGAAAGCACAACCTAATTATACAAACTGTACAGAAAGGTTGGGATGTAGCACGAGATGCAGCAAATCTTATTCCAAATCCTGAAAACAAGAGGAAAAGTTCAAGGATGGATGGACAATGTAGGAAGACAAGCAGGAAACTATTATAACAAAGCAAATGACTACTATAACCAAGCAGGACACTATATGGACCAAGGTGAAAGATTCTTTAACAGAGGATATAACCATGCACAACAATGGGTAAACAATAACCAACCTCAACCGCCTCAAACTTGGGGAATGTAAAGTTTTTTACTGAGATGAAATGAACAATACAGCATTGAGACAAATGGGTTCAAGATGGATTTGTCGACTTCCAGCAGTTACACAACGTGTTTGTCAAGTTTCTTCCTATACCTCAGGAAGTTTTAGACCGACTTAAAAAACAACAACAACCAGTTGAAAACAAACCAAACTAAAATTTTTACTGAGATGAAATGACCGAAGAAGTTGAAACGGTAGATTTGACACCACAAACAAAAAGTTCAGAACCATTGTCAAAACCTGTCAAAGAACTTACAGATGAAGAGAAAAATTCAATAATAGAAAGTGCCAGGTCTGGAAATACAAACCCTAACTATAAAGTCACTTTTCATAGAAATGGAACGGCTAGTATCTCAAAAAAGAAACAGACTCTCACAAATAAAATATTGAAGTCTGAAGGAGCTTTCGAGACAACAGATGGAAAAGTTTACTTCACTGACCAACAGTTCATTATAGAACATCTCATTGACTTAGAGTCGAAATATTCTAAACTTTACAACAAACACAAAAAGTTGAAAGGAAAACAAAAACAAATGGCATATGATATTTACGAAGATGTTGACGACACAACCATACCTGCAAGTGAGGTAAAGTCAGAGGAACCGAAAAGTGACGAAAAACCGATAGAAGAAGAAAAACCAAAAACTGAAGATAAACCAAAACCAAAGTTTAGTTTCCAAACTAAACCAAGTCAACCTTCACTAGCTGGTATGGGTTGGCGTCAAAGACTTCTGGTAGCAGGAGGTTATGTAAAGTAAAAGAAAAAAATATTTTTAAAACAGTATATTTTTTTATTTTTATTTGAACTGTACGCTGAGTTTGTTGGAAAAGACCGTTGGGAAACTTGTTTGTTAGACGATGAAATATGAAATGGCATACCATTTAAACAACATATTTTAAAAAAAATATTTTTTTATTTTATTTGAAATGTACGCTGAGTTTGTTGGAACAGACCGTTGGGAAACTTGTTTGTTAGATGAGAAATATGAAATTCACTGTTGTGAGTCATTTGAAGTCAGAAACAAAAAGACAAAAAGAGTTTTAAGCGGATGGGAGGGAAATGACGGATATGCTCTTATGAAGATGAGTGGAAAAAACTATTTTAAACATGTTGTCATTGCAACTCATTTTATACCGAACCCTAACAATTTACCTTTTGTAGACCATATAAACCGTATAAGAAGCGACAATAGACTTGAAAACTTACGTTGGGTCACTTGTTCTGAAAACAATAAGAACAGAGGCAAATTTGGAGATATTGTATTCGAATTTGTCGACGAACTAGAAGATGAAGCAATTGAAATTACAGACTATGGCAAGCATACGTTTGAGTTTTACTACTATAGCGAAGAACAAGACTCTTTCTACTTTTATACCGGCGTAAACTATAGGAAATTACAAGTATGTTTTACTAAGGCAGGCTATGCTTATGTAAACACTAGAGATACAGATGGAAAAAACGTTCAAATACTTCTTAACAAATTCAAGAAGCTATATGGCATACCATTTTAAAACGTTTTTAAAACAGTATATTTTTACATATATAAAATGCTTCAGGTTGAAAAACAAAGAACAAAAGTAGCAGATACAAAACCGTTAGACTATATCTTTACAAATGCCGGTAGGACTATTTCAGATGAAGAAATTTCATCTCGAATTGTCTTTCATATACAACTACGGAAAAGTGCTGAAAAAGTATTGAATGTGAAGATATTAGAAAATAACACGTTTTCTAACATCGTAGAAAACTCATGAAAACAATTTATTTTTGACACTTTCACAAAAAACATAAAAAAGTGAGTTAAAATGAGATGTTTACTGAACTGGTTGGATGTCGCCTTCTGTAGTTATGTAGAATGGTTGACCTGAGAAGTGGAACAGTGCTCTGAGAATTTGTATAATTCGTGGAATTGGACTCTCTCTGTTTGGAAGTTGTATCCAAGGACGCTTGGCAAAGAACTTGAGAAGAGCTTCTCTTTTGGCGTCCTTTATGCCATCGTAGGCTGTCCCGTCTGGTATTTGAATTGGAATTCCAGTCGAAGTCTCGAGATTCAAGGCAGCCCTTCCCGTTATCCAACAGTTAACAAGCTTGCCTTTTACATTCTGCCTGAGGAAGTCTTTAACAAGCTCGTTAATTTCAATTAGGTAAACTGCCTCATCTAATGGCTCGATGTTGTCCATTGCTACTGTCAGTAAAAGTACTGCTACTGTCAGAAAAAGTACTGCTACTGTCAGAAAAAGTACTGCTACTGTCAGTAAAAGTACTGCTACTGTCAGTAAAAGTACTGCTACTGTCAGTAAAAGTACTGCTAGGAGCAGAAAAAAGGAAAATTTGAGAGGGTTTTCGACGATAAAGTACTGCTACTGTCAGAAAAAGTACTGCTACTGTCAGTAAAAGTACTGCTACTGTCAGAAAAAGTACTGCTACTGTCAGAAAAAGTACTGCTACTGTCAGTAAAAGTACTGCTACTGTCAGAAAAAGTACTGCTACTGTCAGTAGAAGTACTGCTAGTAGCAGAGATTTTTATCGTTGTGGTCCGACGGTTAAGCCACAGACGAATGTCCGACGTCCCACCAACCGAGTCCAATCTCAATCCAGAAGAACCGAAAGCTCCAACCCTTGGTTGTTCCAACAATTCCAATCTCAATCCAAATCGAAGAGAGACCAAGAGTTCGAAGAAGGTCTGAACCGCTTACGCAAAGAGTATGCTACAGCTCCAACCCTTGGTTGTTCCAGCAATTCCAATTCCAGTCCAAATTACTACCAATCTCAATCCAAATCGAAGAGAGACCAAGAGTTCGAAGAAGGTCTGAACCGCTTACGCAAAGAGTATGCCACAGCTCCAATTGAGAGAAAGTTGTTCCCGGACCAAAAAATATAATTTAGGGTAGAAGGTCATGATTTCATCGTAAATGTTTTGTCAAGACTTCTTCGTATATGTTTTGTCAAGACTTCTTCGTATATGTTTTGTCAAGACTTCTTCATCGTAAACTAAACGTAAATGTTTTGTCAAGAATATAGCAACCGTCGGAATACAGACGGTTGGTTTTTATATAAAATTCATGCAGGAAATTCTTGAGTTTTGGTTGAAAGAATACGGTGGAGCCAAAAGTGGCTCGACCTCAAAACAAACATTTTATGAGCTTACAAAGGGTGTTATGAATGAATTCAGCAACATACATCCTGACCTCGTTCATTTTTGTTGCTAAATTCAGTAAAAATAATGTTTATGTTAGAATGTTAGATCTAACATGTTTTCTAACACGTTTTCTAACATGGTCTAAAACTCTTGAATTTTCATGAATTTTCATGAATTTTCATGAATTTCATCGTAAATGTTTTGTCGAAACTTCATCGTAATGAGTGTAAATGACCCAAAAATAATGTTTATGTTAGAATGTTAGATCTAACATGTTTTCTAACACGTTTTCTAACATGGTCTAAAACTCTTGAATTTTCATGAATTTTCATGAATTTCATCGTAAATGTTTTGTCGAAACTTCATCGTAAATGTTTTGTCGAAACTTCATCGTAATGAGTGTAAATGACCCAAAAATATAATTTATGTTAGAATGTTAGATCTAACATGTTTTCTAACACGTTTTCTAACATGGTCTAAAACTCTTGAATTTTCATGAATTTTCCCGAAATAAAAAATAAAATTAGTTTTATTTTTTTTTTATTTTTTTTATTTTGTATAAAAGATATGATTTCAACAATCGGCACAACAACAGTTCAAACAACTACAGCACCAAACTCGTTAGTCATGAATCCAACATCTATGTTAGTAGAGATGAAAAACTTCATTCCTTCTTCATATACTTTCGAAACAAAAATCCAGAAGATAAAGCAAGAACTTTTAACAAGTAATTTAGACTGTAGTGCGAAAGATGAAACAATGAACAGTATCTTTATGAAATGCAGGACATTATTGACCATTTACCCAAATTGCCTGAAATCCAACAACAAAAACTAACCATTCCGAATTTGACGAAATAGAAGTCAAAGCAACTGACTCAGTAGAAATAAAGAAGTTCATACGAAAGGTAAATTATGAATTCCTTGGTTTTCATTGCAACCATAAGGTTATGGACAAAGATTGCGACATGGTATATAAGAACATCTCTGACCTTTACAAATCCGAAGAATTTAAGACCTACGACA